ACAATTAATCCATTACATTCACTGTAATTATAAATATGCATGAATTTACTGTTGTTGTTTTGCTTTTTTTATAGTGTTGATGGTTTCTTTGTTCAATATATTTTTCTTGCTGAATTCATTATGTTTATAGATTTTTATCATTTCCTTTGTTGCTGTTATTTTAGTGTTTACTGAGATTTTAAGTTCTTGTTTTGTTTTTTTACTTTGGTGACAAGGTTCATTGATTTTCCTTGAAGTTACCCTATAATTCATTATTATCTTCCCAAGTTTTAAACAGTCCATTCTGTCTTTATATAGTCTTGACTTTCTATCCATTTGGAAGTTCTGTAACTACATCATTTATTCCCTGTTTTTGCTTGGGAGGTATCATCATTTAGAAATTGACTTCTCTGGTTTCCTATTTTCTATCTTGTAGGTTTATTTTATTTTTGATATTTCTATAGCTGGGTGATTTCTAGGTGATGGTATTATGTGTCTTAATCTCCATTTGTTGTCTGTCATTGTTGGTTCTTTGTCTTAATGAGTCCCTATTAGCATTTCTAGTAAGGTTTGTCAGGTTTTTACAAATTGTCTTATTTATTTATTTATTTATTTAATCTTGGAATATCCTAATTTCACCATCATATTCTAGGAACAATTTTTCTGTGTATGTAATTCTTGGTTGGCAATTTTTTTCTTTCAGGATTGTATGTGTTATTCCACTGCCTTCTAGCCTGCATGATTTCTGAAAAAAATCAGAGCTTAGTCTTATTGGTTCTCCTTTTTAGTTAACATTTTGTTTTTCCCAAGTTGCTTTCAGGGTTTTTATCTTTGTCTTTGGTTTTGGAAAGTTTGATTATGATATGTCTTGGTGATTTTAGGGTTAGTTGAGCTTCTTGAATGCAAATCTTCTTCTATTTCTTGATATTAGGGAAGGTTCCCCCCTCCCCCATACACACACACAAATCTTTAACAATTTTCTTGGTGCTTATTTTTTCTTTTGCCTCCTCCTTCTCTGGATTTCTGATCATTCCTCTAACAGATTAGTAGTAAGAGATTTGTAGTCAGTCTCACTAATTCTGTCTTCTATTGATTCAGTTTTATTCTTTGTCCTTCTAATGTATTATCTATTTCTGAAATTTTAGTATTAATCTTTTGGATTTCTATTTGCTGTTTTTGTACTATTTCTATTTTTCTATTTAGTTTGTCAATTTGTTCTTATATTTTTTTTCCTATGGTTTCCTCAAACTTTTCTCTCAATGTGTTCAAGGTACTAAATATAATTATTTTAAATTCCTTATCAAGTAGTTCCTATAACATTTCTTACTCTAGAAGATTTTCTGGCCCTGTTTTGGTTACTTGTTTGGGGCAAGTGTTGTGTGTGTATGTGTGTGTGTGTGTGAGAGAGAGAGATATGAAGTTGTCTATTGTCATCAAGACATTGTGGTGTTATTGTATTAATTCATTGATTGTATGTTGATTTACATCACCCTGATGTTTTGTTTTGTTTCACTTTAATATATCTGGGCAACATTGTGGGCACATAACTCTGATTGCTAGTTTGGCAGCCCGAGAGCACTCACCACCTGTCTCCAGGTAGATTTGGTAGTGGGTGGCAGTGTAGGTGCTAGTCTCTGATCACTGATCATGCAAAGCAGCTGAACGCAGGCTATTTGGGTGTTGATCACCATCTGTTGTCAATTCAGTGCTTCTGGAGTGGGTTGTGGGACTCATCCACTGTTTGGGGTGACAGGTGTGTTAAGTGTGGCTGGGTAGGGTAACTGTCTCCCAAATTCTGAGGAAAGATAGAAAAAAATGGGTGGGAAGAGGGGAAAAGAGAAAATAAGAGGAGTGAATAACAGAGATTTAAGAAGACAGAAAAAGGGAGAAAAGAAGAAAAACAAACTAACAAAAACAAATGTGACACAGTGTTGGCATAAGTGCTAGCTGCCAAATATGACTTCAGTGGAAATGTAGGACTCACTCCCCCTGAGTATGCACTGCTAAATATGGAGGGCCAGGTGCAGCTCTAAGAATGTAGAGGTGGGGAGGTGCAAGGCACTCACTTAGCTGGATTAAGAATTATTAGAAAAGGAAAAAAAAGGCAGGGAGAAGAGGAAGAAAAAGAAAAAAATAACAAAGGGGATGAGGGAAGAACTGAGAAGGAAAGAATAAAAGAAGATAAAAGCAGGAGGGGGATACTGACATTAAGTGTTAGCCACCAAACACAGCTGCAGTGGGAATTTTGATCTCAGTCCAGGGGGAGTGTGCACCACTGTTCATGGAGGAGTAGGGCAGGCAGTCACTGCTGACCACAAAGGGGGAGGTAGGCATCCCCTCTATGGCATAAAAAATAAGCAAATAAATAAATAAAAACAGAGGTGAAGAAGACGTAAAGAGATAAGAAAGAAGAAGAAAACAAGGGGAAGAAGAAGGAAGAACTAGGAAAAAAGAAGCACAGTACTAGCAAAAGTACCAGCCACCAAACACTGCTGTTAGAGAATGCAGTGCTTGCTCTGTGAGAATGTGCATCTCCTATCAGGGAAGGGCTAGGTTGTGTGCTGCTAAATACATGGGCTCGGGGGAAGGACTCCTGTTCTTCATGATCCAAAAAAAATCAAATAAAATAAAGGGGCAAGGAAAGAAGAAGAAAAATGAAAGATAAAAATAGGGGAGGAGGGAAGAACTAAGCAGAATGATAAAGAAAAAAAGCAGCACAGCATTGGCACTGAGGGTGGGTTTGACCAACTCCTGGGTGGATGACGGTTGGAAGGGCCACAAACTGATCATTGGGAGGTTGTGCAAAGTAAGAAGGAAGGTCCCACCTCTCTGTTAACCTGATCACTGATGCAGGCGCTGGTGCACTCCTGGACAAATGGAGCCAGTTAATTGGTTCCTATTTTGATCAGAATGCTGCTTGCAATAACTCAAAATGGTCATGCTATGCTGGTACACAATTTATCTCTTCTTGTTCACTGTTTTCTTTCAGTTTCTTCCTCTCATTGGTATTTGATCTACTTCTTTATCTTTTCCTTTGAAGCTCTGGATTCTAGGATTGTCATCCATAGCTATTTCCCTTGGTGTATTGAATTTTTGTTGTTGAGAGTCTGGATAGTGTATCTGCCTTGTCGGCCATTTTGGATCCTCCCATCCTCACAGTTCTGATCAACTGCATACTCATTGTCTTTCCCAACCACTTGAGCATTCTGCCAGAACAAGGCACAGCTCAGGACTGGGTCCTGATACATGGACTATAAATGTCTATTGATGGTAAAATGATTAAATAAAATTGACCTAGATGTGTCTTCTTTATAACCAAACTGACTCATCAGACACTAACTGAGACCCTTTAAGAGTCTAGGCCCAGGGATGGGGACTTTCTCATTGCTGTTCTTTCATTTCTGTCCCTTTCCTCAAGTTCTTTTCCCCAGATTGCTGTCCTTATGGTGCTTTTGTGAATAAGAGGGGGAAAAAAATTGTCCTTTCCTCAGAGCATACATGGCCACACTCCAACACACATATCTTGATGAGAGAAGCAAGGATACCTTTGGCTGGAGTGAGCAACCTGCACGTTTGTATGTAAAAGCCTTGATCCTTTCACTGAGAGTCCAAGCCTCATATGGCACTTTTTATTATATATGGATGGAGACGGGGTAGTGCCAGACTGGAATTTGTAGACATGACTTTGAATATATATTCTTCTACTAACTCATTATGTGACCTCTGGTAAGCTGACCAGAAGTATGGCCCCTCCAACACCCACCCACCCTGATCTTGATCTCAGTTTCCCTATCTAAAGAATAAGACAGTAACAAAGCTTACCTCTCAGGCCTTCAATTAGGCTAGGCAGGAAGGATGCTTTTTCAAACTTCTTGGGTGGTAATGACCATTGAGGCATCCCTACATTTCTTACTTGTGTCCCAAAGGATGTGGTTAACTGAAATCTCTTCTCATCAAAATTCATTCGGAAAAAGAATAGAGTCCTAGGAATTCCCTATGCTTAATACACACATCTGCCCTGTACTGCTGGTTAACACCTCTCCTATCTTTAGCTAGTATTATGGCTGAAAATTTCTTGTTTTTCATGTAGCTTCCCATATCCCAAGCCATTATAGAAATTACCTGATGAAGAAATCCACTACATGTATGTACCCACTATATATACTACAACATCAAAGGGCCAAAGAGATTGAAGAGATACAAGAATGTTGTGAGAAGAAACATGACTAGGACACAGAATTTGTGATTAAAACTTTAGCTCTATCCTTGACTTGTGATAGGAGCTTGGGCAAGTGATTTCAGCTCTCTGAGACTCAGTTTCCTCTTCTTAAACACTTATGATCATAAGATCCACTTCAGCTTCCATTTTAGAGTTGCTGTGGGGGTTCAGTGAAACAAAGCAGGTAAAGATGTTTGGAAACTGAAAGTAACCCATGTATGAAGAATGCTTTTGCAATAATAATAGCATTAACCGCAGGAGAAAGGCATTTGTTTCCAGAAATCCAGGTCCTGGTCTATCCATATTACTCAAGAAAGCACTACTTTAGTCATCTCATTAACACCTTACACACCAAGAAATCATTGTCTCATGGATAATTAGAGCTGGCATGGCCCTTCAAGACAGATGATCAAATATGTTGTTGTTGTTAGGTGTGTTGAGTCAGATCTGACTCATAGTGACTCTATGTATACAACTAAATGATTCTGTCATTCCTCTGTGAGTTTGTCATACAGTGGTGGCTAGTGTGTTGCTGTGAGGCTGGAGGCTATGCCATTGACATTTAAAATATAAGCAGGGTCAACCATGATGGACAGGTTTCAGCAGAGCTTCCAGACTAAGACAGACTCAGAAGAAGAGGCCATCCACTTCTCAAAGAATTGGGCAGTGAAAACCTTGTGAATAGCAGAGAAACACTGTTTGGTTATCAAGACTAGCTTGCTGATATTACAGATATAGAAGTTGAGGTCCCAGGGAGGAGGAAATTTCCTCATTATAACTGGGCTCAGGATCCAAATCTTACCTGTCCAGTTCTTCATCCAAGGGCTGGTAGTTAACCTCATAGCACTCAATTCTCTTTAGAAAGTCTTCCAGAACCTTTTCCCGGTCACAGTCTACATAATCAGGACTGCCAAGTTTCACTTGCTGTGAGAAGAGTAAAGGACAGAGGAATCGAGGGAAAGAGTGGGAGGCAGAGAATTTGACAGTGCCCTTGGGAAGGTCTCCTAGAGACCATTGAGTCAAATATCCCTCATTATAAAGGTGAGGGAACAGATACTTGGAGAAACTTGGTCTTGGCTAAGTTTCAAATTCAGTCAATTGAAGAGAAGCTGACACTGTGTAACTAACTCTTCCTCTCTAATCTCTGTGTGGTCAAACAAGGCCTGTTACATTATTTTCAGTTTCAGGGCTTGCACTGTTTAAGAACATTTATAAGAGTTGGAAATTGTCTTGTGAGAAATAGTTGAAGAACAAGAATTAGAGATCCTGGTTTAGAGACATACTGGGAGAATGTGGCATCTTATCTTTAGATTTCTGAAAAGCTGGCATCTCCTAATTTCTCCACACCAAACTTCTCTTCCCATATTTTCCATTTCAGGGAATGAAACTCTCATACACACTGTTACCCGAGTTTAAATAAAATGAATCTGGGAGTCATCCTAAGTGTTTCCCTCTCCCACCTCTCAGCAGCCATCAAATCCAATCCACTCTACTTTCTAAATATCTTTCTCATTGGCTTCATTCTCTTTCCTGAATGTATACTGTAGTTTTGTGATTGATTCCTCTGTCTACAGTCTTATTCCTTCTACTTTATTCCCCATACTGGCTATCAGAAGGATATTTCTACATTCTCATCTGTGGCATTCCTCTGCTTAAAACCCTTCAGCATTTTCTCATACCTCATAGTAAAAAGTAGAAAGTCTTTTAGCATGTGGCTCATGGCTTGTCATTAACAGGCCCCAAATGATCTCTTCATCCTCATCTCCCTTTGCTCCCCTATTCTTCCACACACTTTACTTTAGTCAGTGTATGCTATTTATAGTTACCTGGAGATGTCATTATCAGTGTTTGCTATTTTTTTATTTCACATTATTTGCCTACCAAACCTCTATGCATCCTTCCAGATGCACTTCAGCTATCAACTTTATTGAGAAGCCTTCCATGATCTAACCCTGCCCTCACACACTGATCTTCACCATTGTGCTCCATCAGTCTCTTAGCACTGATCTCACAGAGTTCTGTCTATATACTCATCAGTCTCCTTCACAGGACTTTGAGCTCAAGGTCAGGCTTTTTCTCTGCCCATGTCTCTATTTCTAATGCCCATTATGGTGCTTGCCTCAAATTCTGTGGTGGATGAAGAGGGATTGGACATGTTCTATGCCCTGAGAGGTAAAAATAGGACCAATTAGTGCAAACATATGACCAATCATATAAAAATAGAACCAATACCAATTACAGGGAAACAGAGTTAAGCTTGGCTTTTTTGGGCTGCATTTGGACGCCATAAGCCTCTTGTCACCAGAGGTATGCAAAAGTAATCTAGAAAAACATTTAGCTGAGATTTCATGTAACTGATGGAGGGTTGAAATAAATGATTTTTAAGGTCTGATATATCTTTGAGCTCCTATAATTTGATAAAGAGGGGAACAATAAAATTGTGAGTAATATAGTTTTAAACCACATGCCTATAATATGCAGGCAATGATAATTCTGATACAAGGAGGCAAAATAAAGAGTTAGGGTTTTGAGTTAGACAGCCAAGCCTGAGCTGTAGTCCCAACTCTACCTCTTTCTGGCCATATGAAATTTGATAACTCACTTCTCCTCTTGGAGCCTCAGTTTACACTTTCCAACACTGAAATGATCCCCAACATGCAAGTGTGTTGTGAAAAATCAATTAGACTCAAGCTTGGTGTCTAGTGCATATTAGGGACTCTATATATGTTGACTATTTAACTTCAGAAGATCATTGTGGGCCAGGATAGTCAAGGAATGCTTTCTATAGCAAGTGAGAGATGTTTGAGGAGAACTTGAAATACCTCCTTTACTCTAAGAGAGGTCTTTTTAGGCATGATCCAAGTGTGGGGCAACATATGGCGGGGGGAGAGTAACCAGTATTCCTTACCCTGATGTTTTCTGCAATGATGCCACGGTCATTACAGATGGACTCAATGAAAAATACCTATAAGAGAAACAAAAAAGGGATCCCCATCAAGGAATTACATTTGTTGTTGTTGTTATATGCCATTGAGTCGAACCCAACTCATAGCGACCCCTCTTCCTTCCACAGAGCGGCTGGTGGGTTTGAACTGCCAGCCTTCTGGTTAGCAGTCAAGTGCCTTAGGCACTGCACTACCAGAGCTCCCTGGAATTACATGTAGCAGGAGCCAAACATAGCTCAACCCCTTATCAATGGCTCTGTCACATTCTCAAGGGCATGTCTGACAACATAATTGTTCTCAGGCTTTGAGTTTTATGAGGTAGATTAGCTCTAAATTGAATGACACCAGATTGTTTTGTATTTTTTAAAGTTTTTTTTAGTTCTTATATACAAGTCTTGTAGTGGTTCTCTACCCTGCTTCCTCACTCCCAACCTCTATGGTATCAGGCTGTCAGCAATCATCTTCCATTGCTTATCATAACACTTCCTCTTTCCTATTCTGCTTTACAGCTTCTAATTGTGACCTCAGAAGACCTACGACCAAATTTAAATGGTTGAGCCTGTGGTACCTGATTTGGTTGCTCTGAGGCTTCTGGTCTGCTATCTCTGGGATTAGTGCTGGACAAGTAAGCTCTAAATAAAGGGGGGAGCGTTATTTTACCTTGTAACCATGCTCTTTAGCAAACTGAAGAATCAGTAACCGCCGTTCTCTGGTCGTGTTGGTGGCATCAAAAACCTAGAGACAGATGGTGAGATTGGCTTACTCTGAGTCTGATATTGATAGAGTGCCTGTTTTTTATCCATCCCTGTTCTAAGTGGAAGCCTTCCAAGAAAGGAAGAATTTGAACAGTCTCAAAGGATAGGAACGATTTGGGATTGGCTCGTGTCAAGTTAATAAGCACTCATCGAACCCATACTATTTGCTGAGATATGCACCCAGAACCTGTGGCTAGAGTACAAGTGTGGGTTATTAGGGCCATTTTATAGGTGAAGTAACTGAGGACTAGAGGAATAACTTTCCTTATACAAAAGTCACCAGAGTTTCTGACAGAGCAGGTAAGGCTTCTTTCTTATTACTTTGTAGGTCCTCAAGATCAGAAAACAACTCCCTGTCCTCAATACCTTAGATGGGAACTTTTACATATTTGAAGATATCTTCCCACTTTAGAATTTGCAAATCCTATTCCAAGAGTCTTAAGATTAAATTGAGTAAATGTTTAGGTAACTCTCTAGAACTAAAAAGTATATGCATTGCAATGTGAAATTCTAGTATGGTTCTACTGAACTGTTGGGAATGGAACAGTAGAACATGGTGTTTATTAAAAGTGTGGACTCTGGAGCTACACAACTTAGGTTCCAGCTCTGGCTCTGCTTCTTAAACCTTGTGCCACCTTGGGAAATTACTTAATCTCTCTGCCTCATTTTTTCTGGGCTATAAAATGGAATGTAATAAAATACCTATCTCTATGGAGAGGAGGAAATTAAATTATTAATACATGCAAAGTGTTTAGAGTAATGCATGGCACATGGTAAATGATGAGTACACATTAGTTGTTCTTCATCCCAACAGAAACCGGAGGAGAAAATGCAAGTTTATTTACCGCAACCTGGCCTTCCTCATGGCTGAGATAGTTATGGACATCTTTCAAGGCTGCCAGGGCACACTGCCTGAAAAAGATGGAGAAAGAAACAGAGACCTATCCTACCTCCTCATTTCCACCCCAGGATAGGTTCCTCCCCCCCTTTTTTTTTTTTCCTGCACTATTTTCTGAAGTATCTCAATATGTCCTACATTAATTTAAATTAAAACACCTACACAGAATGTCCTATGTTCTAGGCACCATACCAAGCACAGAGAGGTGACATAATTGAATGAGGCTCTGTGTGCACAGCTTAGGGGCAGGAATAATGTGACATACTCAGGAAAAGATGACTAATAATGGAAACCATAATACTAAGAGCTCCAACACTTGGGCTAATGGAGTTCAGGCTGAACTGCCTTATGAACCAGGATACTCACTGCCATTGAGTTGAATCCAACTCATAGTGACACCTCCTTGGGTTTCTGAGGTGGTATCACTATGGAAGTAGATTGCTCAACCTTCCCTCCGAGGAGTGGCTGGTGGGTTTGAACTGCCATGCTTCTGGTTAGCGGTCAAATGCCTTAGGCACTACGCCACCAGAGCTCCTATGAACCAGGATAGAGCCTAGATATATGGTCAGTGAAGTAGAAAGCATTCCTGGCATGAGGTACAGTGAAAACATGCATGACAGCAGTAATGTATTTATGCATCCAGCAAAAATATCTTTGGTGATTACTCTTTGCCAGGACAAACATATGGATCAATAAATGAGGACCAGGTCTGCTATGGAAGTGCTCAGAGTCTTGTAGTGGGGAGAGACTTTGAGGATGAATGAATGAGCCTGGAGAGATTGGAGTGGGCCAGTCTTAAATGCTAGGCTGAGAAGTTTCTACTCTCTCATACATAGTAGAAGACTGCTAAAGGTTCTTGAACAAGGACTGGTCATAACCAGAAACAGGCTCTGGGCAGGATAGTGAAAGGGCCATCTTAACCACACTGGGAGAGTCTAGAAGGCCTACTCTCTGACCAAGGTTGCTTTGCTCTTCTGCTCCAGAATCTGAACAAAGGCTTTCCCTCAGACAAGGAACAGCTCTTAAAAGGTTGGATACTTACTTCCTGATTAATTGGGCTTCCATGTTGTCTGCGAGGAAGAATTCATAGTTCTTGTAGCTCACTGCTTCTCTTCGATACTGGCCTAAATTAAACACTGAAAGCAGGGGACCCCAGTGAAGAGGTTGGGAGGATATAACTGGGTGTAAAAAAGTCCTTACTGGGATCTCAGAGGTGAGAAAATGTTCAATTTGTAGCTACATAATGTGTACATATAAGAATGCAGATTATGCCCATCAGAAAACCTTCCTCACAACAACCTTGCAAAGTAAGAATCACCATTCCCATTTTACAAATGAAAAACTGAAGTTCAGAGATAAAAAGTCATTTTCCTGATTAATAAGTGGGAATCTGGAACTTAAATCTAGGCCTGTTTGACTCCAAAGCTACTTTATCATGAATTCAAACACCATACATGGTGTGTGTGTGTGTGTGTGTGTGTGTGTGTGTGT